AGAGAGAGAGAGAGAGAGAGAGAGAGAGAGAGAGAGAGAGAGAGAGATGATCATATCTGAACTTTAGGAAGAAAACTGACAGATGAGTGAATGATGGATTAGAGTGAGGAGAGAGTTACAGGAAGGAGCCCAACCAGGAGGCTATTCCTATAGTTCAAGCATCAGGTGGTGAGGGCCTTCCCCAGGGTGGTGGCAATGTCAAAGCAGAGAAGAAAGCACATGAGAAAAATATGATAATGGTAAAATCAACAGCCCTTAGCAATAGACTGAATATGGGACAATAAAAGGAAGATTGAGGAGTTGAGGGTGACAACTAAGTTACATGCCTGGATCACTGGAAGAATGGTGGCAGCCGCAACAATAATAGAGAAATTAGAAAGAGGGGAAGAATTCATGGGAAAAATAAGTTCAGTTTTGAATATGTTGAATTAGAGATGTTTATAGGACATCCAGTTTGAGATGTCCAATAGATAACTGATGATGGGATTTTGGAGATCAGGAAAGAGGTTATGTTGGATAAGGAGATATGATTATCATTAGCATAGGGATGATATTTGAAACCCTGAAAGCTAATGAGATCATCTAGTGAAATAGTATAGAGAGATAAGAGAAAAGGTTGCCCAGGACAGAATACTGTGGGAAACTTGGAATTAGTAGGCAAAGATCTGGATGAAAATCCTTACTAAGAAGACTTACTAAGTGTCTAAGAAGGAATGGTCAGATAGGTAGGAGAACAAGGAAAGAGTATTGTCAGGAAAACCTAGAAAGAAGAGAATATCAAGGAGAAGAGGTTGATTGACAGGCTGCAGAGAGGCCAAAAAGGATGAGGATTAAGAAAAGGCCATTGTATTTGGCAGTTAAGAGATCATTAGTAACTTTGGAGAGAATAGTTTTGTTTGAATGAGGAGCTTGCAAGCCAGACTGTAGAGAGTTAAGAAGAGAGTGAGAAGAAGGAAATGGAGGTATCCATTGTAGATGACCTTCTCAAGCAGTTTAACCACAAAAGAGAGGAGAGAAATGGGATAGAGGGAATGGTTGGATTAATTGGTTTTTTCTTTTTTTTAGGATATATGTATAGATCTTGTATTTATGTAGTTATTGTCATGTTAGAATTATTAGAATGTGAGCTCCTTAGGAGCAGGGTCTATTTTTTTTTAAAGATAGGTGCCTGATAAGGATTAAGTGTTTAATAAAAATTCATTTATTGACTGACTTGCTAATGAACTCCCTCATCTATCCTGTTAGCTATCTCTCCAACATTGTATTATCTGCAAATTTTCTGAGCGTGCCATCACTGATTAAAATGTTAGACAAATAGGGCCAAGCATGGGTCCATGGGTTGCTCTACTGGATATCTCTGGTTCCATTGACATTGAAACATCGTGAGGCTATTCAACCATTTCTGAATCCATCTAACTGTACTATCATCTAGTCCAAATTTCTCCATGCTCTTCATTAGCACAGATACTTTATCACATTTTTTTCCCCTAGAATCTAGGTAGATATTTATAGTATCACTATCATCTACCAGTTTGGAAATCTGTCAAAAAGGGAAATAGCTTAATTTGGAAAGGTTTGTTCTTGAAGTTATGCTGGCTCTTGGTTGGATTAGATCAGTGTTTCAAACTCAAATAGAAATGGGGGCCACTAAACCATAGATAGGGATCCTCGCAAAATCACATATTAATATTGTCTATGTTTTATTGTATTTTTATTTATTTTGTTAGACATTTCCCAATTATATTTTAATCTTTGGGTGGAACTCAGGAGCATTGGGGCTATATGGGGTGGCATGTTTGACACCTCTGAACTAGATGATTATGGAGATTCCTTTTAGCTCTAAATTCTATGATCCTATGCTAACTGCCACTTTCCTTTTTAGGTATTCACTACCCATCTCTC